GACATTCTGTAAAATGGATTGACTGGGTATTTAGTGGGCGAAACGCAGCATCCAGTTTACGCTCAGCAGTGTCCCACAAACAGCCATTATTTGGGGTATTGTTGGCCAGGATCCTGGGAGAGTGAAAGAACTCCCTTCTTTTTTGGAATTTTGCTGTGAAATCTTTAACGTCCGCCTGAACAGGTAGACCCGACCTTGGTTTAACATCCCATCCGATATCCGACAACACAACCCACCCCCAGCGCTGCATTGGAATGTCAGCTTAGATTAGGTGATTCCAAGTCCTGTTTATGTTTGAATAACAGAGGATAGGAGGTCAGTCCCTGTCTCCCAACACACGATTTTTATCTTCTGTTCTCCAGGGGATGTATGAAGAGTCAAGCGACCAAGGATCGCTCCCTGTTTCCGGAATCTCCATTAAAAATAACATATCTGGTTCCACATAGATGACTAACAATTCTGGTTACACCTATACTCACATTCCCATGGTTATAATAAGATATGGTTTCATTTCCTGTTGCTTATATTAGGTTTGTTTCCAGACAGTCAAAAAAAGGGTGGGGGGGCGGGGGAGAGACTTAATTCCTTACATATACGAGGAAAGGGATGATCCTTTAAGAACTTTGTGTTTGGTGTCTGTCGGTGCCACTCTTTATAAGATAAATATTTACACATCAAAGAAAGTCGCCTGGCTTTACAGCCAGTATCACAGGAAACAGGAGTCTGGGGAAATAGCTGCGGAACCAGACTAACAACATTACTTGACCTTGTGATGTATATTATACCAATTTTAATTTGAGAATCTGAGCAAGTTAGAGGAGTGATGTGTGCGTGCATATATATATATAATATATATACATACACACATATATATCATGCCTAGTTTATGTCTGAAGTATGTAGGTTAATGCATAACCTTCAGTGTTCAATGCATGACCCAGTTTATCAATGGCTTCACAACTCTTGAGATTATGCACTGTTACTCTTTATGAATGGGAATCTATCTATCTATCTATCTATCTATCTATCTATCTATCTATCTATCTATCTATCTATCTATCTATCTATCTATCTATCTATCTATCTATCTATCTATCTATCTATCTATCTATCTATCTATCTATCTATCTATCTATCTATCTATCTATCTATCTATCTATCTATCTATCTATCTATCTATCTATCTATCTATCTATCTATCTATCTATCTATCTATCTATCTATCTATCTATCTATCTATCTATCTATCTATCTATCTATCTATCTATCTATCTATCTATCTATCTATCTATCTATTGTTGTTGATTTGTCCTTTGCTGGCGAGGGTGTTATGTCAGACAGTGGATATCAGCTTTCCAACCGGCCTACCACTTAAATATAACGCGTAATATTGGGATTTATTATACGAGCTGCTGCTGGAGAATATCTTCATGCATCAGTGTGTTTTCCTGGGACACTGTAATTGGCTTAGTTACACCATAGGCACAAGGTCAAAACTGTGTTTGCAGTTAAAGCGTTTTAAAGCTTACAGCATAGAGTTTCATTGCTATTGTGCACAGATTGGAAAAGGCGAGCTCTGCATGGGAACATTGGCAAACATGTCCAGTACTCTGTTAACTAACATTTGAATGCCTGTTAATATTTTATTGTTAGCAAAGAGCTGGCAGGCGTGTTCGCCATTGTTTTAAAAACATGAGGGCATCCCTGTGAACCCTATACCAACTGTTTTAAACACCAGAAGATTAAAATGCTTGCTTTGATTTAGTTGGATTTCAAGCGCAATCAATGTAACACTGAAGTGATGTAAAACTATCATTGAAGTGGTTTCACGAGTGCTTCGCGACCACATCACTCGCGCCCTCGCCCTCGCTCGCCTCCACTGGCTCCCCATCCCCCAGAGGATCGAATTCAAGATCCTCATCCTCACCTACAAGGCCATTCACGGCCCCGCTCCCTCCTACCTCTCTGACCTACTATCCCCCTACCTACCTGCCCGTACCCTCCGTTCCTCTGGCTCCGGTCTGCTCCATATCCCCCGCCCCAACCGCCCTACCATGGGTGGCCGGGCCTTCAGCCCCGAGGCTCTGGAACTCTATCCCCCAGTGCCTTCGCCGCTTCCTCCCTTTCCTCCTTCAAGGCCGGTCTCAGGACCTTTCTCTTTTGACCGAGCCTTCAGCTCCTCTCTCGACTCTCTACCCCCTCCTCGCTCCCTCCCTTCCCTCCCCTCACCATTTCCCCCCAAGGCTCGGGTCCTGACCCAACTGTACAGCGCCTTGGAACGTCCTCCCGACGTGAAAGGCGCTCTATAAATGAAATCTTGTTGTTGTTGTTCTCTTTAAGCCAAAGAAGGCCGCTTGACGTGCAATTGTATTGGTTTGAGGTGAAAATTGTATTGAATTGGTGCAAATGTTGTGCTTCAATTGGCCTACAAAACGAATCGGCTGCTGGGTTTTCATGTTACATTTTATGTTGGGTTATCTAGCTTCCATCATTGAACACTCTTAGTTATAATAAATTAAATGTACAATACTTAGAAGCATGCTTGAGCATAATCTAGAATTATCTTTGCATACCATGTGACCAAAACTACATAAATTATAAATAAAATAAATAAAATATGAGGGTTAGCTTATTTTCTATTTATTGCATTCAAGAACTAAGCTTTATTTCTTATTTCCATTAGTGTGGAGCATGTTTTTCATTGTATGACTTCAATTGGTTAAAGTTCATGCAGGATAATAAATTCTGGCACTTACACTAAATCACTGCTCCTGTAAAAGTGAGTCAGTTAATCTACACAAGTATATCCCCTTTTACAAATGATATTGTAGGATATTAAATGTTAAAGTGCAATGTGAAAGTTTGTGGAGAAACTGTTTTTGCTTAGTTATGTAATTTGTTTTACAGCTTCTGTATTACATACAGTATATAATAATAATAGTTCTTGCATTTGATACAGTGGCTTATCACGTCTTTGAGCCGTCTCAAAGCGCTTCACAGAATATACTATAAAGTGAATTGACTGTACACAGTGTATTGACTGTGGGTGAAGCAGTGTCCCACAAACAGTCGTGGATTGAGTGACCAATTTTTTTCTTTATTGGAGGGATGATTACTATTCATTCTTTTTGGAAGTTAAAATATCTATTAAGTCCAAAATTTACAGTTCAGATCCTACTGTTAATGTGGTGCAAATTAGTTCTTGAATAAAGTAGTTCAACTTTATTGCTTACAGCTTACTTTTGGTCAAGAGCCATTCTTGCAAATTTACCATAAAGTAACTCCACGTGCTTATTTTAACACATACATGCCATATGTCTATATAAAAGAACATCCTGGCAGGATATGTTATTCCGAAGACTCCGAACAGTAAGTGACAGGTTTCGTTGGCCCTTGGCACCCTTTTCAAGAGTTGAAGCCAATTGGGTGGTATATGAGACTCTTGTTGCGGTGCCCAGTTATTCTGTTCCAATCTCGGATGCCCTAAACTGAGGACAGACACCATTCATGGAAACCTTTAGATCTGGTACTGGAGCCCAAAATATGGTCCTGTGCAGGCAGGCGGCTCGCTGGATGCTCTTCTTAGGTGTGAGATAAAGGGAAACTTACAGGAGGCAAAATAAGGGAGAAAGTATGAACAACCCCCCCCCCCACCACCGCCCCTGCTCAATAAGTTGCACTAGATTTTATGTAATACAACACTTTATTTCCCCTGTTCCTTTCGGCTTCCTTTCCTTTTTAAGCTCTTGCCCATTATGTCACTGTCGGTTGAGACACTCAGTAACTTGTGGAATGTAACTTGCACTATTTATTTTCATTGTTAAGACTTTATCATTCTTATACAGATAATAGTTGAAACATTTGTTTAGCGAGGCAGAAACTAGCACAATGTTCAAACCGTACACGATACAAGGTAGAGCACAAGTCCATCAACCAGATTTTTCTTGACAAAATGTTACTTTCTCTTCAGGAGCTATGTTGCATTCCTTAGAATGAGATAATTTGGTGGGAAAGTTGACATTTCCAGATGAAAATCTTGGTAATGAAAATTCCCATTAATGTTAAAATCATTTGACGTCTCGAAACAAACTCTTGAGTCATTTGACTGTTAATTTCCCTCCTTTGCCCCTTCCTTCCCTCTGCAAAAAGTCCTGCTTATTTTCGTAAAAGTCACATAACTATTACAGTGTTTGTGATGGTTTTTAAATAAATGGGAGGGGCTGTTCACTTAATATGTATGAGGACATTTAACTAACCCTAATCTGTCTAGCAACCAGCCAATATGATTATTGTATATGGCCAGCCATGTCACTCCGTAAGCAGTTATTTTTCTTGGAGTTTCAATAGTAAGGATTCTCAAACCACACACAAAAGGAAATTCGATGCACCTTCTCCTAATGATTTTAGCATCATTATTCAAACAAATGTTCAGAGTCTGTTACCTGATAAACACGCTTTATACTGTATCCAGCCAGTAAATCATTATACATGAACGTGTTCAATCCAGTATCGATCTTGAGAAATTTGCAAAAATAAATTGATTTCTCCATTTAGCGATGGGAACAGTTTCATCTAAAACTGTTCTGGATCAGATTAACTATGCCCGTGATTCAATGTATACAGTGTTGGGTGTAATTATCTTTTTATCAATCTCATTTACGAATCAGTCATCTTTGTATCAATTGTGATGCAGGGTGAGGGTGTAATGAAAGGAGAACAGGGTTGGAGTCAGGTAAGAAGTGAAAGAAATCTACCGGATGTGGAGTTGACCAGAGGAAACGTATGAAATAAAATGAGCAAGATAGGATATGATAGGATCCTGAGGCTGAAGGGAGCGCTAGATAGAACAAAGAGAATATTTTATATGCTTTTCACTTCTATTTTCTCATGGTTATTTTATACCTATTATTGTCTTGCGTTAATATTCTGTAAATAGTTCCTGGATATCTTCAGAAACCCATCCTGTGGTCACAACGTAATTTCCTCCTCTTACTTTGCAGTAACCATCACTGTTGGAGGAATGCAGCATTTGCTGGGTCTATACGACACTGCGGGACAGGTACGGAAGAGGCTGCCTATAACATTACTCAAACTTACTATAACATGAGCAATGGGGTAAACCGTAGTCTTGTGTTCCTGCTTCTGAAAATGTGAGAAATCTGGTCCTGCAAAGGAATGTGGTGTCATTTTCATTAGAAGTGCTTCATTTAGAATTTAATTTGTCATTCTGTTTTAGGATTCATGTTCACCATTCCCCAATCCCACTCTCTCACATACATGCCGATCAATTTGGTCAAATTGACATTGCCTCAAACAAAAGGATAGTTTGCCCCAATTATTGAGACACCGAATTGCTTTCTGTGCCGTTAGCATCAGCACGTTGTGATGTCCTCCCGACGTGAAAGTTACTTCATAAATATTGTATAAGCATCAATATATTTGTATTGGATCAGTTAAGAGATTAACATTCTACTGAATCGCAGAATTCCAAACCCGTTGAACCCGATTTCAGACGTTTTTTTTTTTGCTCGTTGCAAAATCACCCGATGCCAATATATAATGCCGGCTCAAGAGAAGTAACATTCAGCTCAACGGAATGACGCGAGGGATAGATAGAATTGATGGGTTTATTCAAATCGCATGCAAATAAAGCACACGATTTTATGCATTTTTTTAAAAAATCTGTAACAAAGCTTATGAGCACTACGCTTTAATGCTTTTTTAAAAAAAAAACGGACCTAATCAATCACTTTATTGGGTTGTTTATTTCACGGCCGAGATAGATTCTGTGATTTTTTAAATAATGTATCAAAGTGGCCACTGGAGGGCTCTAGAATTACTCCCATTCCTTCCCTTATCTTCATTACCTTCATCCCTTCCTGATTCGTTCCGACGCACATATTGAACCTATAGATCATCAAAGGTCTCCTCTCATTCCTTGTGTTCTTGTTCAGGAAATTGCGTTCTTTCAAAAAATACTGTATTAATACAACATCACATTAATAAAGAAGCCAATCGATTGGCCCAGCATTGAATTCAGTCTGTGAGTGGTAGTCCATTTGGATTGCTTTCTTAGCTAGCTCAATAATTGTGCAGTAATAGAATACTGACTGTAGGGGAGGCTACAGTAGATACAAATTGTGATTTTTCTGCTTTTATCTTACTCTAGGAGGACTATAACCAGCTGAGACCGTTCTCATACCCAAACACTGATGTGTTCTTGATCTGCTTCTCTGTGGTAAATCCTGCGTCTTACCACAATGTGCAAGAGGAGTGGGTGCCTGAACTGAAAGCATGTATGCCACATGTGCCTTATGTACTGATCGGGACTCAGGTAGGTTTCCTTTTTTGCATTTTGACAGAAGTGGAGGCCGTCCCTGAACCTAGAACCGCAGCTCTGTCAATTCAGAGTTAAAGGTCGACAACCCGGCCTTCCAATAGTTCTGTTTTTTATCAACTGAAATAATGAAGTTAAATCTTTTCTGGACAATCTGTGTCTCAGTGTTCACATTCATCACTTGGGCAGGAGATTTGGGACTCTTTGCTCTCGACAAGAGTACTATAGATTATGGTCTGGCACAAGACTCAAGTCCCTGGATTGAGTGCTAGCTGCTTTTGTGGATGCATATATGTGATTCTGCCTTTGGTTATTCAAAATCATTTGGCATGCACGTGGCCGGCACCTGGACCTGTTGGGGACCTACTTAGTCCCCAACCCACTACCCGCTGCCTCCTCTCGACCAGCTCTGGCCTCCTGCATGTCGCTCGTGCCCTCCGTTCCACCATCGGTGGCTACACTTTCAGCCACTACGCCCGGAAACTCTGGAACACTCTTCTTCTATCCCATCGCCTTGTCCCTTTGTTTCCCCATCTTCAGATTGTACCTGAAGACCATCCTCTTCGACCATACTTGTGGTCAGGGTTGTTGTGTTCCACCACTGTCAAGTGCTCTGGGACACTGCCCTGAATGAGGGGCACTATATAAATGCAAGTTGTTGTTCTTGTTGTTCTATAAACCCGTTAGTATATTATTGTTGACCAATATGCAAGCTAAAGTCCCAACCAATACTTTGGTTACCACCACTACAGCATTTCAAAATGGATTTGGAAAGTATAATAGCATCCCACCCCATGTGTTTTCAGATTGACCTAAGAGATGATCCCAAAACACTGGCGCGATTAATTCATATGAAGGAGAAACCTATCACATATGAGCAAGGAGTCAAGTTGGCAAAGGAGGTAATGTTTCTTCAGAGGTTTCAGTGTTAAACACATGTCTAAAGGGTTGCGAAATACTTACTCACTCGAGCACTTGCTTTATCTGGGACTGTCTTTATTTGAAATGTGTATTAATAATAGAGCCAGCTGGCAAACAGACAATATAGATAGAGAGTGGGGACTGTGGGAAACTTTTAGAGTTTCAGTCTATAAAAGATAGACTGGTGATGATATTGAACTAGTATTTTCATTATGCAGGTAAAGGATGGGACAAGGACACGGGTGCTGATTTTTTATAGACTAAAAAGAGTCCTGATCTGGATTTCCCAACTTGCACAGCATTTTCAATTAACCTTACAGTTGGCACACATTATTAACACACTGATCATCTGATAAATTTAGTTTGCAACCTGTCCTTGTAGAAAAACACATGACTACAATATGCATTATTGTCCTTCTGTGCAACTAGCTAATTCCGAATGTGTACTAAACCAGTGGATTTCTTCAGTTGAACTACATTCTAATTTTTTTGTGCTGGACTTTAAGCCAGGGGACTTGGAGGCTGTAATATATTGCAATATGTGCTAGAACCAATATGGGAGAACTCCCCATTATAACGCATTTCATTATAATAAGGGTTTGTTTAATATCGGGTGTGGACTCTGGTGTTTCCTTACCAAAATAAAATCCAAAATGCAAGCAGAAAGCCAGCTTGCTTCAAACCACCAGCGAGCTTCTTGTGTGCTATAAAGATGGCCATCAGGTCACCCCCAAGGTCACTTCCTGTACCTTGATCTTGTATATGCATCGTATTTTCATTTAACCGCTAGACGTTATTGCGTACGCGAGCACATAAAAGTCCCCCCCGCAAAAAAAGGAGCAATGTACACTTATTGATTGAAAGCAGAGACCAAGTTAAACATTTCAGAGAAACGGCCCAAATTTTTTTATGCTATTTTTTGAATTATTTTTTTTCTCTCTCCTCTTCCCGTCAGATTGGAGCGCAGTGTTATTTGGAATGCTCGGCGCTCACACAAAAAGGCTTAAAAGCCGTGTTCGACGAAGCAATCTTGACCGTTTTCAACCCCAAGAAGCGGAAAAGAGGCTGTCCCAAGTGTCGTGTGTGCTGTGCAATTATATGAGGCCAATCGAGAGGACAAAGGAGGACTGTTGCAAAAAAAAGATGAATTCCGATTGACTTACGAGAGAGAGAGAGAGAGAGAAGCTGACTGTGAAATTTTAAGCTGCTTCTTACTGGACATTTTTGGCAAGGAAAAATTGTTCCGTCAATTTAATGAAGAGACGGCGAATGGGTCCACAATAAGGAGTCAGCTGCAGCAGTGGACTTAACTTTAAACTATCCAACCTCACGAAAAGAAAGTCATCATAGTTTACTGCTAACTACTACTCTTTGTGTTTCAAATTGCCTCACCTGCATCTTTTGCCATGCCTTGCTGAAAAGCACTGAGCCAATGTTAAGGTGGTCTTATCATTACTGGCACCGGTGTGGTTAGAGGACGTCAGAGGAGGTGGAGAGGAACAGGTAAAGGTGCCAGACAGAACAGGCTTGAAGCACTGCAGTGGAGCTTTTCGTTCAGCTTTTTCGTGGCCTTATATACAGCTAAATACGAGCATCAATATTACCAGTTTGAAAAGCTCAGTGGCATCCGTTCGAGCAGTGCTTCCCTTCCTATGGTTAGATGTCTGACTACTCATTTCATGTGAGAATTGTCGTCGTGTAAGTCAATTTCAGTGCGAGCAGTTCTTTCAGAAGCACAGTTGTAGCCACCGCACAGTAAAACTGTTCCAAAGAGCAACGTGGAAGAAAAACACACCAGCACTACATTTCTGTTTGAAGGTCAGGCTTCGAAACAGGATGGTGAATGTCCTTGCTTTCATACCTCCGTAGCAAGCTAACAACCAGCTTTCATGCTCTGTGTAGCTGAGAAGCAATGAAAGTTAATGCCCGTTGATAGCTTGCATATCACTTGTGAACCATTCAGCTTATAGGCAAGTGTTAAGCAGCCTGAGGTGACGGGCAGCTTTTTATGTAGATATTAATTTTTTAAAGCAACTAATATAAGCTCCTTATATTTGACATAAGCAGGAAAATAACAAGTCTTAGGGACTTTTATTTTTTTAAATCATAAATCACTGTACATGACTATAGCCTGACCTGCACAGAAGGTGGATTCAGGGGCAAATACTGGACCCATAGTCTGTAAAATCACTACACCAAAGTTTATGTAGAATCACATAGAATTATACAGCACAGAAGGAGGCCATTCGGCCCTTTGTGTTTGTGCCAGCTCTTTGAAAAGAGCTATCCATTTCAATCCCACTCCACCCCTCTCTCCCCATAGCCCTGCAAACTTGTCCTCCCCAAATAATTATCTACTTCTCTCTTACATGTTGTAATCAAATTGGCTTCCACCACCCTTTCAGGCAATGCATTTCAGAAGTATCAAAAGTAACGAGGTATCCCTCTATGCAGGGCATAATCTTTGTATATGAATGCAAACCACCTTCGCCTAGCTTTTGGGTTAAATACAGTGAATGTGACTGACATTGGTATAATATACATGGCGCAGGAATACTGGAACAATGTGGAAGGAATATTTTCAGTCTAATGCGACTACTTGAATCGCAACACTATTTCAGTTGGCCGAGGTCATTTGCTGCTGCGATTCCAAAGCAAAACCTCGCCACATTGCAGTTGTATTGTTAAATCTTAAATAAAATGATGCATGGCTAGTTAGTATGATCCCAAGTTTTAAATTGCCAAAGCACTTGGGACTCAAAGCGCTTGCAAGTGAAATGCAACATCAGTCACAATAAGAGTTGAGATTGCACTGTGGGCTGGGAAAGTAATGCTATATTTCATACAGTAATGCAGGGGTTGTGGAGCCAATAAGCTTTAATATTATCAAGTCCTTTGAAATATTTACAGTGCCCCTCAAAGTTATACCACGCCTTATTGCAATTGGATGTGGATCCATATTCTTGGAACGCTTGCACAGAGATTGCCAGAAAGATTCCCAAGGGAATCGAAACCCAGATTTTAATACTTTTCAAAGCCGTTCCTATGAGCACCAGCTCAGACCGTGTGTTTGTAAAAGATGCTTCGTCTAGAATATCGGTTTTCTTCTTTAATAGGAAGAATGGCGACTACTGGTTTGGAGCATGTTTTTGTAAATGGAAACCACTCCACAGCACCCTCGCCAGGTATTTGCATCAAAGAAAAGTATACGAAGTAACCGAGAACCTGTGCTTAATAGCAGTCACTAATGCTGCCCACCCTTTACAGTGCTGTTGTGCTGGCTGTGTGCACTCTTGTGATATGAATACCTCCACACTGGCTCTGATTACTAGTGAACGTGAAATGTTTCTGCCCTTCACTCACTGGGTTATATGAGCTTCCAGTCATTGGGGTCAATACACAGTGCAGCAGCGAAGTCTCAGAGTGACTACGTTCATGGACTGAAACTTCAGTTGGCATTGATCTGTCTCGTCTCTGGTGAAGTTGGCCGCCAATGGGATGTGTCCCCCCCCCAATCCCATTATAATCGTGCCAAAGGCTACACACGTTAATTCCGATTGGAATTTCAGCCTGACATTTCTTCTGCTGTTTGTGGCTGCTGTAGAATATTCTCTGCAATAGAAACGTGCCATTGATCACAGCATCGGGTCCTAAGGCAGTCACTGAGGAAACTCATATTGTGATTCTGCAATATAAATGCATCCGTAAGATAACTAGCTCTATGTCACTTTGTTAACCTTTACTAACCAGCTCTTAGTTGTAAACTTCCAGATGTGTATCTTCACTTACACGTAGCCACCGTTGACTAGTTGGTGAGGGGAACGTTGAGCAGAAGCTTTCCCCAATGCACAATATATTCCGAAGCTACCTCGCATCTTGCCAGTTCCCATTAAACCATTGAAATGAGCGATGAGAACAAAAATGTTAAGCTGACTAGATTGCTTTCCCTTCCGTACCTCAAAACAAACAACAAACAAACAAAAACCCTAAAAGAATCAGAATGAGTTATTTTCCGTTCTATTCTCGTTGAAGTGTATCACTGCAAGTAGGATTGTAAGATAACATCCCCACATACCAAACAAAATCAGCTGTGCTTAACATTTGTTTTGTAAAATCATCCCCCCCCCCCCACCCCACTCAGCTTATTGTTCTTCAGGTCCCATACTAAACCTACCTCTTCGACAGCGCCTATGATCACATCCCCTCTCCCGCCCCCCACCCACCACCCACCCAACCACCACCAGATCTGCATCCAATCCCGTCATTGCAAAGCAGTTTGAGACAGTCTCCCTCATAAATGGCGCTATATAAATGGTAGTTATTCTGATAGATCAAGTTGACTTAAAAAATGTGACAGAATCTTATGCAAATTCAAGCCACCATAATGATGAACACACTAATGCCAAGAGATACAAGCACAAACCTGGAGTGGTGGGGGCGTTGGAGATGACAAAGCTACTGACTGTGTCTTTACTGAATAGAATGTCTGTGCTGGGTAAGATAAATTCAAAGACAGAGGGACAGTGGGAGGAGGATGAGGAAAGGAGAGGAATTATGATAAGAATAACATTCCTTACATTTGCTATTGCATCCTCACACAGGGAGGATGGCTCAAAGCTCGCGCTTCACAGGAATTACTGTAAAGTGTAGCGACTCTGTATTTTGTAGTTGAACAAATTAATAGTGCTGGGTGGAGGAGTGGGGAACTAAAGGTGAGAAGGATAAAGAATATGCAGTTTTCAAAAGTATAAACTTTAAGCTGAAAATGGCAAAAGTGAGTGGCACAAAATGCCCTGCAGAGGGTGGAGTGGAAGGATGCAGAGGTGTGAGATGACCGACTGAGGGTGGAGAGTGATGTTTGTTACGGCAGCCTATACAACACCCTAGAAAACTAAAAATCAACTTGCAGAATCTCAGCAAGTTAACGTTTCACCGAAGGTGGAGCTCAAACCCGAATGAGTTCAACCGCTGGTCTGCAACACAGGAGGAAAAAAAATCAAGTAGATTCTGGGAAAGCACAGAGACGAGTGAGTATCGACAACAAAAAAGGCCAAACACAAGCGAACCAAAAAGCACACTTATAGATCCGCCAAAACATTTGGAGAACTCAGCTCCTCGAGACTCGGTAAAGCACGAAGTTTGAAGAGTTTGGAAATGTGGGACAGTAGCGGTCTAAATGCACATTTTAAGCCCGAGCATGTACCATTTTTACTGACCACAATACTGCACTGTAGTGTTGCCTTCCAGTGTTCTACCAGCTTCAAGGAGAAACTGAAACAGGAAGCATATGGTTTCGATTATAACTGGTTGAAACTTACACTTTTATGCATCTGGGATCCTGATCCAACCACCGTATTGTATTTTCTTACCAGATTTAACCACTTGAATATTTCTTATTTTATTTGCCTTAGGTTAGCAATTATTTTTTTTGCAGAGACAATCCAGTAAGTTTATGTAAAGCCATTTTATTTGTTACTATATTTCACTATTAGTATTAATATAGTTTGGGTGAAACACGGTTGTTGGGAGTATAATTCCAGTTTTTATTTTGTGAGCAGAAATAGGGTCTTGACCCAGGAAATGAAAGTCAGGGGTTATTTTTATTACGTATGGAAACCGTTGGCTTAAATGTATATTTTCCTTTTTGAATATCTTCCCGGCTTCTCTAGATTTCTGTTGCGAGACTGAGACCGGTAGTGTAGGAACTAACTTGCAATTTCTCTTGAATGCAATCTAGAACTGACTGCTTTACAGAATTCATATACTGTATAATAGTACTGCATTCTAACTGACATTTTGGCTGGGAAGGGGGCTGGGGGTGGGGGTGGGAGGGTACAGATTAAATATCCATATAGACCAGCAATGAAAAGTTTATTTTAATAAATACTTAACAAGACACTTTAACTTATCGACTTAACAAAGTAAAATATGCATTGCAATTATTTCTCAGGAACCAGTGGGGTGGTTATGCTTTAAATAATTGGTTGGTGGATAGAATGTGAGGGGGTGAAATGCAAAGACATTAAATTCAATGATCCTAAAACACAAACTTGCGTGGTAAGAACTGTGAAAAACGTTAATATTTTTTTCATGGCAATACATCGGCAGTAGGTAAAGTTCATTCTAGTATCTTACACCATTGAAGAAAGCTTACAAGTGTTATGCTCTGCGCTTTTCTTAGTATGTATACCCTGCGTAATCTTTATTCTTTCTTTGATATACCATATTAAAAAAAAGACTGAGCAGTTGGTCTGTGCACTAACAATTGCTTTGAATGCTCAGCAACAGCTTTCGATTGCTATGGAATTTTTAACAAGCCTTGCTATGCAAAATAGATCAGGAGATCAAATGCGAATGATATTTTGGACAGCATGTTTTGAAGCAGCTCTATTCTACTGTAATATTTTTATTTTAATACGAAATGGCACGCTCTACGTCGCTGTCAATTTTTGAGGGACCCTATGAGTTTGTTTTGACTTTTTAAGAAAACTGAGATCTGTTAAAGGTCTTGGAAGTAAGACTAGAGATTAAAGTTTTAAAACACAATTAGAAAGATGTTCTGCTTCGGGGAGACCAGCACTCAGTTCAGTTCTGATAATTTGACAAGAGATGATTGATTTACTGATTTGTTTAATTTGAATTCTATAAATACTACCATGTATTATGTCCATTGAAGGAGGAATAACTCCTTCGAATTTGATTCCGATTAATACAATGGAGGTGGTCACCTCTTATTAAAACTCCAGTTTTAGTTGGAAATGAGGGATACTCTGGCATTTTTCATCTCCAACAGACCCAAAGTGACTGCCTACGTTTTAATGAATGTGGCACCTGATTTGTGAACTACTTCCTTTGAGTATAGAATGGGCAGGTTGTTCTTTGTAATGAATACCTTTCAAAACTGACACCGTATCGCTTTCCGTTTAGTTCAGTTCAGTTCCGTTTAGTTCAGCATTCTTCACTGCCAAAGAGGTAGTAAGTAGTGTGTGGGGATATAATGAACATTGATCTGTTGACTGAGAAAGTTATAGTGTGGAGAAACAGACAGAGGAATGAGAGTGATTGAATCTGGACTACAGTACAGATTAGTATTGAGAATTGCCCTGGACCTTTTTCTCAAGGAATAGAAAGAGAGAGTTGGATGGATTGGCTGACTTACTCCAGCCATTGTTTCTCAACTTGCACATTTGGTTTCTCCACCCGGAGTTTAGATTGCTTGGTCGGGGAAATACTACCCTATATTGCCTTGCAGAATTCTC